TGCTCTGCCGGGCAGCCCCCTGCTCCAGCCGCCCGGACGGCGGGGCGATGCGGGGGATGTGTTCTCCTGAAGCCGGCCTCTAGCGAAAATCAGAAATCCCCACTTAAAGCAGGGCTGGGGTGTCTGCGGAGAGCTTGGAGGGCTCTGACCACTCCACGGGAAAAAGCAGCTGGATTTAACTAATGTCCCTCTCCCTCTCTCTTCTCTTGTAGAACTGACATCTTCCAAATCTACAAAAGAAAATGGAAACCATGCATGAGCTGATCCCCTTTGCCAAAGAAATGCTCAGCCAGAAGCCCAACAGGAAAATGGTCAAGCTGTACATGCTGGGCAGCGTGCTGGCTTTCTTTGGTGTGGTTATCGGTCTGGTGGAGACAGTGTGCAGCCCTTTCACCTCTGAAGGGAGGCTAGAGGAGGAGGAGGAGAAGAAACCTGCCCCGACGCGAGAGCAAATGGTCCTGCAGAAACAGGAGGATTTGATCTTGGAAAAGAGCAAGAAGCCGGTGGGGATGCAGAGGGCCCTGGTGACCAGACCACACGCCTCCTAAGAGCCCCGCGCTGGAGAGGCGCCTGCTGAGCAGCCAAGCACAAGAGACTCTGCTGTCCTGTCGTACCTGGTGGTGGTTCCAGCAAGAAGAGGGGAGAGATGGCTGAAGAAGGAGACCGCAAGTGCAAGACTTGAAAGAAGTGAACGGTTATATTTGCTGCTGTGCAGCAGTGGGGAAAAAATACCTTTTGTTGGTATAAAAATGTGCAAGATGCACAGCATGGTTTCTTATTTTTATTACAGATGCATTTTACAACATTTTGCAAAATCAATAAATATTTTATATGGTACCAGTGCTCTCTAGCTGCATTTATTTTCAAAGTCTTGTCTTACTGATTTGCACGTAGGTTTCACTTGTGCCTCTGGCTCCTCTTGTGGGGGCAGGGATAGCTGGAGGGACCCAGGGAACCACTGAGGGTGGTGGCTGCACCCTCTAATGAAGCCCCCCCTTGGTGGGGCTGCGCTGGAACTGGGGGAGCTGGTCTTTCTGCACCTCCGGCAGCTTTTTCCTTCCAAAATGGGCCGACTGCGGTGGGGGGGAGGAGGTGGGTGGCATTTGTCTCACAGGGGTGACAGATGCATGCCCTGAGCTGGAGGTGGAGTTGTACCTTTCAGGGGTTATGTGCGTTTAATGGCACAGATTTGTGTCTGCCATGACCATGCGTGCCCAGAACTGTTTAAAAAAAAAAAAAAAGAAAACAACCCTGTCCATCCCCCAGCAATCCTCTAACAGGCTGTGGCTGCTGCACAGCTAAAAAATATTCTAGCTTTACTGGGATCCTTCACAAACCCACCAGAGACACTTGATTGTGCAGAATAATTTTAGCTTCCAGTATTATAGGGGTGTCACAGATGGAAAGACTGAAGCAGGGACAGACACAATGGCATGCTCAGTCTGGAGGGTGTGGAAATAGGGATCCAAGCTTCAGAGCTTGAACCCAGGGCACCACCAGACTTGTTAAGAGGACTTTCACCTATTTAAAAATCTTTCCTGGGGATAGTAAGAATCTGCAGTGTTCAGGAGTGTGTCATGTTAGTCAAACAAACCCTCGTGGCCACCACAGCTGAAAGATCCTGACCCTGCTACAGCAGGGAGGGAAGGGAAATAGTCCCTGCCAGCCACGACTGGGGCAGAAAATCCCTCTTTATCTGCTGAACGGCAAAGAGACAGCGAGCGGGGCAGAGGCAGGAGCAGATTACACATCTTGCACAGAAACAGATGTACCAGCGATATGCCACTATCTACCTAAGAGCAAAACAATTGATACAAACAGCAGGAGATGATGGAAAACGAGAAGGCGCTGCCTGACAGCAGTGCCCAATGCATAGCTCCTCCCAGAGCTGCGCAAGCTAAGACCAGAATCTAAAAATATAAGAATGCAGCTGAAGTTCACCCTTGCATTTTCATAATACATAATCATGCAATTCATTTTGTTGACAATTATTGCTGTCAAAAAACACAGCAGCACATTGTGGAGGAGGAATCCTACCGAGCCTGCACAAAAACTCTGTTCAGGCTTTGAGTCAAGTATAAAGTACCTTCTCCTCATGGGGAAAAGAGCAGAGTCCAATTAAATTAAAAACAGCCTTTGAGAAATACTTCATCTTGTCCATAACCAAGCCTTTTGGTCTCTGGCAAGGCTGAACAAACACACACCTCACTGATACCAATGGAAATTTCACGGGCAAATATGGAAGGAGAATTCAGGCCTGAAGAAAGCCATCAGCTCACTAGTCCTCCCAATTCCAGCTTTAAACAGGTTCTGAGTTTGCTGCACGGCCTCGGGAACAGGGAAGGCTGACCTGGAATTCCCTGTGGCACACTTGGTGCATGGATAAACCAGAGACCTGAATGTCCGTGGCTGTGTCAGGCAGGGGAGTGTTGCCAGGTCTGAGCTCTCGCACTACTGTAATTCAGAAGCATCGCCGCCACGGCAGAGCTAAACTGTTGATAAATGTATTAAACTGAGATGAGAATCACGTCTTTGTCCAAGGCAGCTGCAAACTCTGTCAATCACACATCGGTTCCCAAGATTAGCCCTTCTCTACAAGTTGTAGGTATCTCACCCTGCCCCATGGGAAAGGGAAAATCTTAAAAATAAGGAGTTAAGAGCCGGTCTCCGGCAACCCAGCCTGCGAGTCCAGGGCGCCTGGGGAGCTCCAGGCCAGCCCATCCACGCTGACCTCCACCACTTCTGCGTTTGGACCTCAGGTTGTCTCCGCACCACGTACGTGGCCTCCCCGCATCGTGCCGGCACCCTGTTGCCCACACCTCCTCTCCGCAGTCATCCAGTCACAGGGTTTATGAGCTTAAAGCAAAGAGGTTTGTGGAACAATCAAAATAGTTCCTCCTAAGACAGCTAACGGGATTAGACAGCTAAACCACGCACTGCGCCAGCGGTTCTGGAGCCAAGTCGGTAAAATCATGTCCTGCAGAAGACAATCTCCTGCCTCCTGACGCACCACAAGCTCAGAGGTCGTTACCTCCCGCATATTACCTGAAAGGTCACCTGAGAGGTCAAGCCTACGCGTTCCCATTTCCACAGCAGACCGCATTGATCACAGTCAGGACCTGCTCTCTGCAGAGTGGTGAACTAGACATATATTAATGGCTGATTGTACCACAAGACCATATAAAGTCCTATTTAAACCACACAATGATAAATTCAGTGTGCTTGGTGGCTTAGTAATCCATTCAACATCACTTTAACTATGATGAATGACAGACCTGCCAGATGCAGTACGTTAAAAGGCTTCAGCAAAATTCCCCGTCTTTAAACCATGGCACGACTCTCCAAACCAGCCCGTGTCCCAGCCCCATCTCCTGAGCCCCCTCACGTCTGGACGTCCACACCAGGCACTGCAGAAAGACAGCTGCCACAAACACAACCCCCTGCCACTGGCATCCACACACCACGGCAACGGAGCCCGGCGGAGTCATTCCAAAACCCTGTGTGAATTGTAAAGAGAAATTTTAATTATAAGTACTGGGATATGGCAGAGAGCAACCAGATGGAACAAGCTGTACTGTCAGTACTGGTAAGGACACCTCGGGCAAGCTACAGTGCAGAACCATATGGAGCATTTAAGACTGAGTTAAACCAAAGTCCTGAGGGATAAGCTCTTAAGGAGAGCCACACATTGCCCAAGGTGTGAGTTAGACTGCTGAGCATCACATGAGGTTGATTTCTGTTATTCTCTTTAAGATTTGTCTGAACCCAGTTTACTTCAACCTGTAAATGTGACATTTTCCTGGTGCATTAAATCCTCAGGAAAATGGCAGCTGGCATGAGATCTGGTGAGTCTGTACCCATCCTGCAACACCTCTTCAAAGCTCTTATTTCAGCTTGGAGCGGTTGTCCAGGCTTTCATCATCGGGAGCTGAAGGCCAGCTAAAACCCAGCAGCGCTCCCTCACGGGCCCATCGCCTCAAGGGCACGAGCCGAACGTCTGCAGAGTCCTCACTCTCTATTTGCAGTTTGGACTCTGGATGTTTCAAGAGCTGCCAGGCTAAAATTAGGGGCCCAGATAAGCATATCAGCCTCTGCCACCCAACACCAAGGGCATCGGGAACATGGATAGCAGCCAAGGCTTAAAGCAGCCACAGTACCAACAATCAAATATCAAGGCAGCAATTCCTGATTTGGTCACGCAGGAAAAAAATAAATTTACGGCTTAGACATGGCTTATCGTCACAGTATTTTCTTTAAACTGGCAGTGAGTAGAAATACGTCAAACCAAATCCAGTCCTACAATCATCCTGAGTCTCCCTTGGGACCCGAGTGCACGTTTTGGGAGCGGTGCAGCCGTGACAGCGCTGGCGCTGGCAGGACATCGGCACTGCCCGCCGGCCATGCAGCTGTGCCGAAAAACACACACGTCCGTCACAGCCCCATAGCATCATGTTGACGTGCACATCAGCCTAATGCAAACATAACTGAGGGCAGCCCTTTATACTGGTGATATCCATAAAGAAAGGAATTAAATCTGTGCTCACGGTAAAGTACGCTGGGAGAACTGGGTATGAGAAATAATATTTTAATGCCTACATGGCAAAGGAAAGGGGGGGAAGGAAAACCTTCTGCATGTAACAAAGATTTGATAATGGGTTGAAAAAAGCCAAATGTCACTCAGAACAGGAAAAAA